GCACCGCCGATTGGTTGTCGAAGGTAATCTGCGTCAAAGCTGTTTATACAGTCAGTCAGTGCCTCACAGAAGATATTTATCATGAAAAAAGTTCAGCATACCTCGTCGGGGTCACCATCGGTTCCAAATCAGAGGGAAAAGGGGGTTCGGACTGCAAATCTAGTCCACGCGCTGAGGAAGAAGGGTCAACAAATGTATAGTCCACGGGGAAAGAGGAAGACGACGAAAAGAACGACGTTGTCGAGTCATCAGTGGAGGCTGGGGAGTTCCAGGGGTATCCTACATTGGCAATTTCGTTCACTGCGGTGGGTAGCAATGAGGGCATGAATTCCGGAGCGGTAGACGAAAGTGAAGTCTTCACATCATGGGCGACACCGTTGGGAACGAACTGGCGAGCGGATCCGTTGATAACATTCTCGGAGTGGCTGTGAACCGGGGTGTTCTCATCAGTCTTTCTGGCAGGGGCGGCACCGTCATGCTGGGCAGCAGGTTCACGCTGGTCCACGGGGAGGACCCATTGCTGCCACTTGTCTCTGGGGCGCAGGCGGTCAACGCCATCCTCACCAGTTTGGCACTCAACGGTGCGCAACTGACGGGCCACGTGACGAAGGAGTTCAAAGTCCTCAGTGAGGGACTTGACACGCTTGAAGCTGGCAAGGACATTCAGAGGCACAAAGCCTTGGGAATCCATCTGCTTGCGAAGGAACATGTCCTTGCACATGTTATCAACCGAGAAGTAGTACTCCAATTGCATGGAGAGCATGTTCATGAGCGAGAAAGGCTCCACGTATTGCTGCTGGTAGGGAACAGCGCTCATCGGGGCAGAGTTGACAGCCGGGTAGCCATACATCGTGTTGATATCACCTGGGAAAGGATAAACAACACCGTACATGTTTGCGGGAGTGGGCAAAGAGGGCGATCGGAGGGGCATACGGTTTCCTTGCTGGGATCCATTGGGGAGGCCATGCTGTTGTGACCGCTGACGGTCGTTGAAGCCAAACGCCTTGGGCGCAGCGAATGAGTTGGACCCATTGAACTGGGCGTTCTGGGCGCCGAAGTTGGAGTAAGCGCCACCACGGCCGCGGTTAGATCCACGACCTCCACGCTCAGAACGGAACTCTCCACGCTCACGGGTGAAGTCGTTAAAACCGGTGGGGTCGGCAGACTTGGATCCGGCCTCGAAGCGACGATCGTTGCTGCGGGTAGCAGCCTGCGAGTCAATAGCCAGGTTTCCACCCTTCTGGTTGCGGTCACCTGCGCGGGCATCCTGGTTTCTTCCAAAGGGCTTACCCTCACGTTGAGGGCGGGGGGCGGTCTCTCCTCCATTCACCTGCTTGGTGTTCTCATCTCCGTTGCGAGCTCCACGGCCGCGCTCGGGTGCCTGGGAAGCCTTGCGTGCATCAGCTGCAGCACCAGCGTCGGTGCTTGTGGACCGTCTCGCCTGGGCGGGAAGAGAAGCGGCACGTCCAGATCCAGCCTCGTGGCGTCCTCGGTCTCCAGATGCCTGCTTTGCGCCTTGGGCGGCCTGTCCAGAGGCAGCCTTATCGGTAGCAGCGGCTCCATTGGCGTGAGCTCCACGGCCACTGTCCCGGCCACCACGAGTGGCCCGTCTACCTCCACGGCCACCGGCAGATGGGAGTGGGGTGTTGAAAACAGCAGTGGGGACGTAAGGAACAGGTGTCCACTTTTCCTTTCCATGGGGTCTGATGACGGGGCTCTTATCGGTCTTTTCGTGCGACTTCTTCTTTTCTTCGCCGATCGCAACTTGGGGAGTAGGCCAGGCAGTAGCGTCTTCTACTGGGGGAACGGATCCAGCATCGCGTGCCTTTCCACCATCGGTCTTCTTGCGATCCTTGGCACCTTCCTGTGCACCATCGGCACCCTTCTTCTTGGAGCCGGCCTTGGAGTCTTGCTGGGTCTCATCAGCAGTTGAGGCACCCTTGGTGGAGGCAGCCTTGCTAGTAGAAGCGGACTTAGGGACAGCCTTGACCTTGGCGTCCTGAGCCTCTCGTCTCTGTTGCCAAATGTTGACAGAAGGGAGAGGGGCAGCCTTCAGCTCCTTAGGTGGTGATGCGGTTTTCTCGGAATCCTCGGACTTTTCAGTGGGCTTCTCTGCGGCACCTTCGGCCTTCTCAGTCTGTCCCTCACTGGGAACCTGCTTCTCAGCAGTGGCATCTGCGTTGCCGTTGGAGGTATTTGAGTCGTCCTCCTTTGTCTTGCGCGACTTTGAGCCTGTGCGAACGCTCGGGCTTGATGTTCGAGAGTTGATGGCCTTTGTCTTAGCGGCATGCTTGTTGGTGACAGTGGTGAAATCATCATCCTTGTTCTCCTCTGCGACTACCTCGGATTTTTGAACGGGCTCAGACTCAGTGGGGGCCGGTACGTCCTCCGTTGTAGTCTCAACGATGGTCTGCTCCTCCGGTTTGGAGTCAGTCTTCTCGGTTTCTGATGGTGCCTTGGACGGGGTCGGTGTCCCGGAGACGCCCTTGGCGGCTTGTGCGTACGAAAACGTAGACATGTCGTATTGAGAGCTTATCGTGGCTCTGATCGAGTGTGGGAAAAAAAATTCGACGTGCGGGTTATTTTACCGGACGACCTTGGGTGACGCTGGGTCTCAGTCTACGCCTACTGGGGGCGAGATGGTACCGGCGCAAAGTGGAAATCAAGAAAGGGAAAAGATTCCAGCTTCTTGTAACCCCACTAATCTGTAGCTTCCCGTCTTTTCAGGGAGGCTCTCAATTGTGTGTCGAAAGCTCGGTTTCGTGCGTAAGCGAGACGAGGACCACGGGGGGTATCGGGTCGCAAAAGGGCAATCGAGGGAGTTGTATCTGCTGAGAGGATCGTCTAGACCACAAATCGCATTGATAAATGGGCCGTCGATTTCCTGGTGTGGAGGGGTGATCTCAACAGCCGTGACTTGTGAGCACACAGGTTGTCAGAAAACAAAGAGGAAGGTGTGTTAAGGGAAAAAAATTCCCACCGAGGACGCAACGAAGGCACTGCCTTGTCAACGTCGCCAGGCTTCAAAGGGTAGAACTCAGTCGCTGAGTGCAAGTCGGATTCACAGGAACGCTGTGTGATTCTAGGATTCGATGACAATGCGAAGCACAAGATCAAGTGTCGATCCCTTGCAAAAAAATGAGGATCGCGAATCGGCACGTGGGAAGGTTCGGAAGAGAGGAAGAATCTCGGTTCTCTCTTGAGACGGAGAGGTACCGAAGAGGAAAAGGAAGTCGCGGAAGAGGGAAGGGAGAAAACAGCCGAAATGTCGAAGAGAAGAGAGAGAAGACACAAAATTATTTGGTTCAGGGCAGAACTGGTAGCGGGGTTTTTTCTTTACACGTAATTAAATAATATAGCACATTTTGTGTTTTTTGTACGATTTTGTATTATTTTTTTTTATTGTGGAATTTCGCATAAAAGGATTTTTATTAGGGAAAAAAATATACATATATACATATATATATACTTCTTTTTGATCGGATTTCTTTTCATTTTAATTTCTTTATTCATTTATATAAATATATATCATATATATCATATCATTACTTCAATTTCAAGTTAGGATTGCCTTGTCTATGTTGTAGGTATATAATCGGGCATCTCGGAGCTGACTCGGTACTAGCCGATTGAGGCATATGCTGTATATTCCCATACAACATACGAAGTAGTACTTATATACTTATTACACATTGCAGAAAGAACATACTATGTCCACTTCTGGTTGTGTATTTGCTTTGCCGAGGTCAACCCTTTCGGCGGTCCAGTGCCTTTTATACATGGTCTATAAAACCACATGGGCAACAAAGAACCAGTTCAATGTCATATAATTGAGCCGCATGCTTCTTTAAAGGGCATGCGCCCAATAAAAATCACAGCTCAGGCGATCCATGATTAAAATAGCTGTCAAAGTGGCGATACTTCAGGGTTCTGAGGTCTCAAGTAACCAATGTCCAGCCAATTGGATAACACTATGGCGTTCTTGTTCTAGACCTTCAATCAAAGACCTTTTACCTTATAAATAAAGCTTCTATTGAAGTACCAACAATAGATATCTCATAGAATACAACAGAATACCCTATCTTAATCTTCAGTTCATCAATTTGGAGCAAGAATACTCCGTACATACAACTTACAAAGTACACCTGAAGATCGCGGGGTCCACCGGAGCCCCTCCGGCGATTGGCGCACAATAGAAATATCTGACGTGGGAAGAGTCGAGGTTTTCTTTTAAATGACAACTACTTTCTGACATAAAATATCAAAGCATGAATATTATACTCCGTAACTACAACCGGATATTATTATCAACTTTAATACACACACGCCTAACTACAAGCCAAATCCTCCCAAACCATGTAATCTTCAGCCCGCTGGACCGTTGATTGTTCGGATATACGGGCCGGCGATGAAATCCCTCGGGGGAAACGTAATACATATCAATACAACATACATTTGAAGAAGGTGCCAAGTGAGGTATTACATATTATATTACATAGGACCCTGCGAGAAAAGAAAAATTACCTAGGCCATGCTGACCATTGTGCGACGAAAAGAATGTGATATAATTACATGCTTTTATCCTTGGAACACGTGAACTGCCCAAGTGCTACTGTCATTTTTTTTGTACATTTTATATAATTTATATAAAAATAAAACCAGTCAATCCAATTAAACTAAACAACTCAAATATAAACTATCTCAATTCCCCTTTCACCTAATAAATCCATATTCAAACGTTGTGCTTTCGGCAGTGATTAGGGCTGAGGGCACGCGGAAACCATCGGAATAGCAGAGTGGGTATGTAATATTCATACGCGGGCCGTATTACCCTCAAATTAACGGGCTTCCGGTGTCCGTGATCTATACCAGCGGGATTTGCCTGAAGATATGGACAGAACCCGAGATTCTAGTTGTATGTAAAAGAGGGATATCATTGTCCTGCTAGAGAAAACTCCATGTTCCATATTCCCATACCAACACCAACACCATAAAATTCCCTACCAATGCCGAACACTAACCAACACCTGTTCACGAGCATCAAGATCCATCGAGCCTAGTGGACCTGTCACCACGCCCAGGCGCATAAGGACCTGCCAGACGAGCTTGCGCTTGAGATTCTCGCGCACGCATATCTTCTCCATGGCATCGAAGCCATTGAAGTACTTGAGGAAGACAGGCCAGTACTTCTTGTGCAGGGCCAGGCTATCGTTGGGCGTGATATCCGGGCTGGCGTTTTCATCTTCCTGGATGATTCTCGGGTTATCAGGGAATCGGGAGAAAATTTCGTCAAGCCAGCGGGACTCGAGTGGGGATGCGCGGTGCGGGGAAAGGATTAAAGAGGACAGCCGGAGAGCTGTTGATTGATCGAGGAGTTTGTGGGAAGAGCGCAGTTGGGCATGTGCGTCGAGTCGACTGGGCGTGGGTGTTTCATCTCCGCTGCCGTGGCTGTTGAGGGAAGAGGACGAGGAGGAGTTCGCATCGTCGTTTTCATCGTCGGAGTCGCTGTCCTCATCGACCGAGATCGAGTTTGAGTTGCCCTTAGATAGGTATCGTTCGACTTCCTCCTTGCGCAGTGCCATCTCCACGGCCATTTTGACCTCGGGCGAGACTTTGATGCGCGCGAAAGTGCGGAGCTGGGTGACCCAGCCGCCACGTAATAGCCAAGCCAAGATAGTAAAGTATATCTCCTTGTGGTCTTTGCTGGGGATGAAGTTGCTATACGGGCGAGGGGTGCCACTGAGGGTGGAAAGCATTTTTGGTAAACTGGGGTATGTTGGGAATGCTGTCTGATAAGCGATTGTAGCTATTTCAAGCTTGCTCAAGTCACAGTTTGGAGAGACGATGTATGTGTCTCGTTGGTGGATGGGAGGGATGGCGCGAGCACGACGCCAGTATACAAGATGACTCGACAACATCTGGATATGGGATAGTGGGATTCCTGATGATACTGAAATCTGCGCAAATGACTTGGTTGGCTTGGAGCATCGGATATAATGCGCAAGTGCAGGGGCAAGCGTTCCACCAGACGCTTCAATGTCCTTGACAATGGCGGCTTCGCTGTCTAGCAGAAGTAGAGCAAAGTGCTTTGCCAAGACCTGATGTGGCGTGTTGATTTCATCTGCACTTGGATCGTCGGCAGGGGTTGCACTGTCTGCTGTCGTGAGCCACAGGCCTGGGTATGCTTTATCCATAGGACCAGTAAGGTATGATGTAGAGGTCAAAGGTGGAATCTGAAGCGAGATGGAAACATCCGGGCTGAGCGATACGGATGCGATTTTGGACGCCGATATGCTGCTATAAACTGTGTAGATAGCTCGAGCTAGAGAAGACTGGGATATCAATTCGGAGTAAAGATTATGGGTTGATGTTTCTGTGCAGTGTCATTGTCAGCTTCAGCAGGATAGCTATTAGCAGGAAACATACTTGTCTCTCGTGCTCTCCTCCTCACTTGTAAAATATGTTGAGACTCCTTCCACACATAATCGGTGCGAGCCTGCTCCCATTTAAGAGCCTTGGCGAATTTCTTGATGATGTTCTCGTAGATTTCCTTGACACGCATGGAGTACTCCAGTAAGGGAGGATCCACGACAAAGACAACATTGAACATTGTCATATGGTCGTTGTCCTCCGGGTCAAGATCAAGCGGCTCATCAGATTTCCCAGGCCGTCCGCTGGTCGACCCACGCTTGCTGTCTGTTGGCGATGTCAGCGACTCCGCAATAGAAGCGACACTGGCACCCAGATCAGGCGAAGTAACGAATTGCTCGTCCTTCTTGCCCTCCTCGGCACTATCATTGTGGCCTAACTCCCCACCGTCCCATTCAGCACGAGGCTTCTTCTGCTTCTTGCGTCGTTGCTTGCGCCATGAGCCATCCTCGCGCACAAAGACCGGCCAACCAATAAGCGCTAAATCATTGATCCCAACCTCAAAACGCCGCTTATGCCACGACCTAGATGGGCTAAGCAATTTCTCCCACACACTCCCAGGCACACCCAAAAGCGACTCCCATGGCGGTCTAGAGCTCCCAGGACCATCATCAGGCCGATCAGACGCTGTTCCCGCATCGTCGTCAGGATCAGGATCGGTGCCCGGGGCCCGTTTCCGAGCCGATGAGCCGCGCCCAGAGCCTAGCGACCCAGGGCGTTGGGACTCACCAGCAGCAGGCGATGAAGCGGCGGGGAGATGATCATCGAGGCCGAAGTTGCTAGCGCGGCGACCCGCCAGCACGGAACTCCCACCAGCATGGCTCTGAGTTTCCCGTTCATCCTCGTCTTCGTCGGTGCTAGAGTCGCTCTCAGAGCTCGAACTCGAATCGGTATTCTTTGATCGGGTGCGGGTGCGCGAGACGCGCCGGCCGCCCCTGGTGGTGGTGGTTTTAATGCGGCTTTCGCTGAGCGGGTTCGGGGGGTAGTGGAAGACGAGGCGGGGGCCGGTGCGAGAGCGCACAATTAGGATGATTGCCACGAGGCACGGGTCTGGTGGCCGGGCGATCGATGACATTTGGTCGCTGGGGGCTCCGTGGAGGAGTTGGAGATTGTAAGAGTGGCTGGGCGGAAACGGTTTCACATGCGGGGAACCGCAAAGGGCGAGGAGAGCCAACATATCGCCATGGTTGAGATTGGTATGATTTTTGCGAATTTCGATGCTAACTCATTTACAGATCATATTTACTTAATATATGTGTTGAATGGGTACCAAAATACATTTCTTATGTGCAACGCCTTGAATAATGCCAGCACTACCCGAATATCACGGACTAGCGCCACTCTTCCATATCATACAATATCATCCAATGTCTCGCAGTCGCATATCAGCTCTTCTGGTCTGGATTGCTTGCGCCTGCAGCTGGTGTAGTTGGAGTCTGTTGTTTTCCCTCGCTGTCTTTAAACACCAACCCGAGGTTCTCAAAATTATCCGGCGCCATGAGGTTCCTAATCACAAGTTGCCTCGATCAGCATTATGCTTCGACATTCATCACGAATACATTCCATCCTCCAATGGCAATATCCGGTGTCTCTGTGTATCGGGCAGACTTACTTGTCCATTCGGCAGGCAAGGTATTCCTTTGCCAACTTGCGACACGCCTCATCGTTGGTGCCTTTGTTCATCTTGATACACTTCAAATATCCCGAGATAACGTGTTTGCATTCTCCTGCATAACCCAAATTGTGATTAGCTCAATTGGCTTCGGTAGTCTTGCCGAGTTCCTTCGGGGTGTGGGCTGTGTGGTGTGGTGTGGTCCGGCGTACCTTCATGATCAAGAGGAAAACTACCACGCTCAGGTCTGCAGGTTTAATTGGGTCAGTAATTATATTAAGAAAGGAATACAATCTCCTGCATTCGCTGGACAACATGTCGCAGACGCAAATATGCACGCTTAGGATAATCCAACTCACGGCGATGGCTTGTAGTTCACCGATGCACCGCCGGGGGCTCCGAAACTCATTTTCAGCAAGATTGGTCGTAAATTTGCTATTAATATCAACACAGCAGGATTCTGCTTTCGTACAGACAAGAAAGTAGCTCAACAAGGTGAACATCACGCGGCGAAAGCGAATCCAAACCTCCGATGGACAAACAGGACAAACCAGACAAACAATGGTTTGTCCAATCATCGCTGCGGGGTACGGTCGATGATGCATGAGATCAATCCGGCGTCTGAAGAATAAGACTCGGGCATTCGGACATAGGGTTGTTGATAGTGAATAGAATGGGTGGAGTTAGGCATTTCCTCTCATCATACGAGGCCTGTGTTGTTTGCTCTTTTTGTTGGTTTTGTTGCTGTGGATTTCCCCTCAGTGACGGAAGTATATATATCGAGTACCACCTCGCAACTCTGGATAAATCTAAGCTTCCAACCAAAATAACCTACATTGCTCTGATTAAACTCCTACCTACTAGCCAGCTAACACGCCAAATCATGCCTATGTATGTAGAGCTCCATCAGCACCACCCTGCCTCCCGATACAGATATAGGTTGTATTAACCGGGTCTATAGGAACCTCGAAGGAAGCTGCCAATGCGGCGGCGTCGAATTTACTCTCCAGTCCCAAACACCAGTTCCCTACCAGTTATGTGCTTGCAGCATCTGTCGCAAAGTAGGCGGACACCTCGGTGCTGTGAACCTCGGCGGCATCGCTGATAGCCTGAATATCATCAAGGGCAAAGATCTGATCAAGTACAGCCCATCCCTACCCTCTGCTTTCACTTTCGAGCATAAGATCCACCGAAAACCCATCATTCAATACATTGGAATGGAATGATACGCAAATCATACTGTTATTCACATAAACTAACGTCATAACCAGGAGATACTCTGCCATCAAAGACCGCGGCACACCGGATGAAAAGCTTTGCTCCTCCCAGCGGAACTTCTGCTCGAACTGCAGTACCATGCTGTGGCTTTGGGACCACCACTGGCCTGAATTGATTCATCCGTTTGCCTCCGCAATCGATACGGAGTTGCCGGTGCCCGACGAGATGGTGTGTATCATGGATGGATCGAAGCCGGCGTGGGCGCGGTGGCCGGAGGGAAAGAAGAGTGTGCACGAGGAGTATAATGAAGACAGCCTGGAGGGATGGCACAAGAAGCATGGGTTGTTTGTTGAGTAGGGAAGTGCCACTGGGCATATGTGCGAGGCGGCGGTTGAGTACAGGAAAGGAGTTACGGAACGGCTGAGAGACTAAGGGACAATCCAGAAGCTATGAATGAGAAATGTTCAAGAAAAAAAATATATTATTTGGTATTAAGCTATTATAAAATGACCACTGGCTCCTGTAATGCATATTAGCAATTGATCATATCACAAGGTGAGTGAAATAATGGCAGTCAAGGAAAAGATCAGTTCTCCAAGGTGAAAATAGTTTATCGACATGATAGTTCAGAGATAGAACAGTATATTGGGGTTCATCATGCAATGAGATAGGAAATGGAATAAGAGTAAACTCACGGTCAACGAGCCAAATGGTCTACCTGTGGGTATTCCTATTTGTCCACTTATGTCGAGTTAGCGATGGCATTCAAGCAAAAAGCGTGAGTCAAAAGCGAAATCAAGACATGGCAACTAAGTCAGGCTGCAAGTCAGTCAGCATGAAATACTAATTTTTTGGTCGACAGGAGACACATACCTCATTAAATCAGAATTTTGTATGAATGTTCATTCCCGGACACGAGGTCCAAGTCCAACAGTGTGAATAACACAATCATCATGATAGGTATGACCATGTTGAGGAAAGGCGGAGATAGAGATGAGTGATGAATTACCTAGAATTTCTGTTAGAAATGCTGGTCTCAACTTGTCGATGCGACATGAAATAAATGTGACAAGGGCAATGGTTCAGGTGACGAATTCTCAACAAGTAATCCACTTCCCAGACACCCACAGAGTTTGTACGCTCTGGTTTTGTTGGATGAAGGGAAATGGGTACGTTATGTCCGCCCGTTCGTTCAAGATTTCTTCATGCTAGGCAACAGCCGCAATGGAGGGAAGGGATTGAATCCAAGTGTAATTTACCTGAGCGAGAGATTGTTAGTCAAAGATCACTCAATGTATGGCTTATAAAGTAATGATGTTGTTGTGATGGGTCAGACAAGGCTGAAACTTAAAAGTATGACAGATTCAACATGGATCTTCTGATTGAGGAATGCCTTTGCATGTCTATAATATAATCATCCCCGGGGGTTTGGGGTTGTGGGAGAGAGAACGGATTTTCCTTACCTTTTAGAAAAAATGAAACCGAGCATTATTCGCAGCGCTGGGATTAACCTCAGGATTTGAGCACAGCTAGAGTGTGTGCCATAATTAGACACAGTCCAAGCTGAGAAGAAAAAAGAAATAAAGAAGTGAGAGCTGGAAAATTCCGAGCGATGCAGAAGGAAAGAAAAAAATTTGCGGGTGGAGCTCGCTATATAAACTAAAGCGGTAAGCTACGGTAGACGCGTATGACCTTTGGCGTTGTTTGTCTTGGCATCAAACATCGGCGAAATAACTGGGCCGAAAGTTGAAGTGGGGATGGTGAAGGGAATTAACTGCATTTGCATGTGGGATGATCAGTCCTCATTAACAAAGAAGGTAGGTTAGAGAGATACATCAATCTAGCAAGACGTACCGTTGCAGCGGTGGAGATTGCTTGGTCTCTTGGGTAATATTTCCACCGAGTGCCTTCCATGCTTCATCATGCAAGTACGATGGATCTCGTTGCCAATTGGGCATTGTAGACTGGTATCGCGACTGCCTGAAAGAAGCTGAAGAGCTTGGGTCCCAAGTGTTGAGCAATAAAATGTTACTGGGTGAGGATACCCTGTTCATGACGTCAACATGTAAAGGACAGGGGCGATTGCAGGAAGTGAAAACTCTCAGCATGCAAGTTTTGGGGGCTCAAAAAAAGGGATTCGACGACTAGATTCCTAGCGTTTGTGGCGTGGGGTTGCTGATAAGAATGTACGACAAGCAATTTCGATGGCAAGAGCCGGTAGCATCGTTGTCACGAACACGAGATGACCGTCAGCATGATTTCTCATGGATATGCAATCACCAGTGAGAACTGTTGATCTTCACCTTTTCCCTGAAGTTAGTAGAAGGTAGGATATCGCACGGAAAGCTGACCAGCACCCACTGTCATAATATTAGCACAGCCAAGTCACGGGCAGCCCATTGGTATTATAGACAGAAAAAAGCTAGCATGGATTGGAAAAAGCTCAAGCTTGTTGACTGAATATACTCCTATCTATGTAGGCTTCGTATCCTGCGCCCATCAAGCACACTGTGAGACACTATCTGGGAAAAGATGTAATTTTCACGTCATCGGAATTCGTCACCTTGACGTGTGTTTGGTAATTTAATTGCCCTTCGGAATTTTAACTGAATTCAAACTGGAGACGATACTAATAATCTGTTGAAATATCGTTGAAATCAATCAATCAAAGATGCCCACGAAATTCAAGCTGAACACCGGGGCAGAGATCCCAGCCATTGGATTCGGCACCTGGCAGGATGCGAGCGAGCAGGAAGATGCTGTAGCAGAGGCAATCAAGGTAGGATATCGTCACATCGATACCGCACGCGCGTAAGCAGCCTTGCTTCCTGACTGAGATGAGCCACGAGCTCGATATACGGTACTGACCGAATACTAGTTATTGCACTGAAAAGGCTGTCGGCAAAGGCGTCAAGAAAAGCGGCATCCCGCGCAAAGATATCTTCATCACGACCAAGCTATGGAACAACAAGCACCACCCAGACGACGTAGCACCGGCTCTGCAGCAATCCCTGGACGATCTGGAAATGGACTACGTTGATCTGTTCCTGATGCACTGGCCCGTCGCCTGGAAACGAGGCGAGGAACTCTTTCCGATGAAAGATGAGAAGCCGATCATGGAGAATATCGATATCATCGACGTATGTCGCACCCTCATCTCTTGATCTGTGAATCCAACCGCGCTAACACCGACGCAGACGTACAAGGCAATGGAACAGCTTCTTAAAACCGGCAAGGTAAAGGCAATTGGCGTCTCGAATTTCGACAAGTCTGAGATGGAACGCCTGATCAAGAATACTTCCGTTGTTCCCGCTGTGCACCAGATGGAATGTCATCCGTGGCTGCAGCAGCATGATTTCACAGAGTGGAACCGAGACAAGGGTATACACGTCACTCACTACTCGCCGTTTGGTAACCAGAACGCTCTCTATGGCGAGAAGGCCGGGCCTGCAAAGCTGCTCGAGGAGCCTGTGTTGGCGGAGATAGGTGAGCCATATAACAAAAATTCAGCCCAGGTTGCTCTTGGTAAGTGTGATTTGCCTGACTTTAGTTTGTACGATGCTGACTGTAGTGTGATTTGACAGCTTGGGGAGTCTCGCAGGGCCACTCGGTGCTGCCGAAGTCTAAAACACCCTTGAGGATCAGGGCCAACCTGGGAGGAGACTTCAAGCTGAGCCCAGAAGACATGAAGAAAATTGGAAAAATCAACAAGAAGGTCCGTTTCAACGATAGCGGTGGGGAGTTTGGCAGAGACTTCTTCGATGGTCTAGAGGGAAAGTGTTGAGATATTGGTTATGTTTGAGGGTGACTATGTAGCCAATTTAAGAAAACCCATCATTATGTTTGTTGTTCTAAATCGGATTGAAGATTAGATCGAGGCTTTAAGACGATGGATATGTCAAGTGACGTCATATAGGGCGGACATCACCAACTCTATGTTATAATTGCTTCTACCGTCTCCCACTACTTGGAAAATAACATATACGGGTCTATTAAATGCACCATGTTGCCAGCAGCCCATGGGTTTGCCTTAGTAACCCCTGCCTCGCGAGGACTGGGGTTCGCCATCGCACAGCAGCTCCTGACCCGGACCGAGCTCCCAGTGATTGCAACAGCCCGTAAGAACTGCGATGAACTCCAAGAACGATTGTTGTCGAGCAAGGGCATACCAAAAGACGCAGAGCAGAGACTCCGCATTCTCCAAGTTGACGTAACAGGTAAAAAAAGCAACTTCATTCCCAGGAATATATTCCTCTCGGCAGCACAAGGCTAACTGACTCCCTAGATGAGTCTACGATATCAGCAATGGCAGACACGATCCGTGAGAAGTATCCAAACACACTGCTCAGGCTAGGATTGACAATCCCCGGTATTTTGCACGCGGAAAAATCACCCAGTAAAATCGACGCTGCCAATGCGCTGGAGAGCTTCAAAGTCAACACCCTCGGCCCGATGTTACTCATGAAGCACCTCTCCCAATTTGTCCCCTTGAAATCCTCACCAGAATTCCCGACAATAGAGTCCAGCTCTGCAATCAACTCTCAAGGACCGCTGTGGCTGCCCTCGCATGCTATCTACGCGATGATGGCCGCTCGAGTCGGCTCAATATCCGACAATGCCTCGGGCGGATGGTATTCCTACCGTGCAAGTAAGGCTGCTGTATTCCAATTGGCCAAGACTTTTGATTTGCATTTGCGCGCGAAGAGTGCGCAGAGGGCAATTGCTGTGGCATTGCACCCTGGGACAGTGCACACAGAGTTCACCAAGGATTATTGGGGAACGAGGGAAATGCTGGAGCCGGCCGACGCGGCCGACAAGCTGTTGGAGGTGCTTGTGGGGTTATCAACGGAGGCTAAAGGGGGGAGAGGGAGGTGTTGGGATTGGATGGGGAAGGAGATTTTACCGTGAACTTTTCAAATTCCCAAAGAGTGATTACTGCGTGCGAGAAGATTTGTATATTAGAACAAACGGTTCTTTTTTGAAGGTGGAATAATGTTAATATGGTCTTGAATTGACTTTCAACACTGAACGTTCCGTGGTACTAATAACTTGCAAATCCTCGCTCCACATGCGTTCGCTGTTTTTCCTGTAAGGCTTCTGGAGCTGCGGTGATATGGTCCCTTCGTGTCCACTGAAACCACAAGTATCGTTCTGAGTGGACTGAAGGCTATCAACTGTAGATTAGAGGTTCATTGCATGTGACCGCAAGGAACAAAACACCCAGAGTAGAAAAAGAAAGAAGAATGATGTATAAGGTCGATGAACCACTTACGATGTCTTACACAGTCTACTTGATATCTGGCATATCGGCCACATTGAGACAAACCATCATAGCGGCTACTACATCTAGTATAGAACAAAAGCAAAAACAAAAACATACAACAGTGAGGATTCGCTGGTGGTCACCCACCCAACTACTAACTCACCGGCGTGTGGCTTAAGTACGGCTGAGCGGACGGGAAGCCCTGTTTTCCACACCCTATGGTCGTATGTATCATGTTCCGTATGGGAGAGAATCATAGAGTGCGAATGTTTTTGGTAGTAGTGGGATGGTGAGAAAGGCGATAATCACAAGTTGATCATGCTAACCCTCTAATTCTGGGAAATCAGTAGTAAACCTGGAGATTTCCAAATTTCCGTGAGAACTCTAGTTAGGAGATATCTCCATATATTTAACATGTAGTTTAGGGTCTGGCGATCCAAGGCTCATCGTGGACTCTGCGATCCGAAATTCTTGTAGAGATTGTGGCTGGAAGTCCACGGGTATCCATGGCTAGGATATCCATGACTAACAGAATCGGAACATAAAAAGCATCAACATGACGTTGAATATGACAGGAGAGAATGGGGAAAAGCCCGGTTGGACGCGCCAGGGCAGTAGTGGGGCAATGCTTAGGTGATACACGCGTAAACCTTGGAGCGTGTCCAGGCTTCCACGGCCGAATATAAATCCCTCTCAACCCCTCCTCCTTCCTTCCTCCAGAGTTCTCTCAACTGTGCCTGCTTGGCCTTGTCCACGAAGCAGCGGGTCCTTGAGTTTTCCTCTCGGCTCTTTGTGAAAGCCCGGCGGGTACGTGGCGAATCTACTGAACTGGACCTCCCTTGAGGGGTCGCAACCTTCGGGTGGGTGTTTGGTGAGCTAGTGACGTCTTGGTTTTTTTTTATAACCCCTGGATTCTTTCTCCCAGGGGAATTTTTTTGGTTGAGGCCATGGCTGCTTTCTGGATGGTGAATACCTTTTCACCTCACCTCGGTGACGACCTTGGTGATTGTTCGGATCTGTAGTTTTATGGCCTCTTCAGCGTCCGTTGAGAACCATATAACTGGTTTTCGATGTACGCTGAAGGGGTCATAGAACTGGAGCTCCGATCGTCATCAGGTCTCAGCGAGACAGAAGGCACTTTGTACCATGTTCCCAATTTTGAAAAATAACGAATCACAGCTCTCGTTCTTAGACTAGTTAGGTTCCAACCAACATGTTATCCATTTCAATCCTTCCATCCAAAGTAGCCTTCTATGTTAAGCTTGACTGAGAGAGTATAATCCAAGTAACGCATGCATGTCTTAGGTCACACGTTTCCTTCACACATCATTTCTTATTCCTTACATGCCAGAGCCATACAAAAGTGGCCTTGTGAGGCTGTAAACTCGCGTTTACTATCCGAGGTTACAGTTTTTTGTTATCAAACGCATGGAGAAGATGAATAGGCAGCGACCAAAGGAGATCGAAAAAATCTCGAGGGAGACGAAGTCAACATGTGTCACGTTTCTGAAATTTATTGTCCATACTGATCATTCTCGTATTTTTAGTCAATCACAGGTCTTAAGCAGAAATGGCATGTCAATTCTCGTTGTTCTCATTGTCTAAAAAAGACGGTCTACATAATATATAATGCAATGCAATGCAAGCCAGCCATCAGCCGGCCAACAGTCGGTTTATCTAAATCTAATCAAAAATGCAAGCCTTCATAGAGTTGGGCTGAATATACTCGGAGGCATTGCGGAAGCTGGTGAAACCCCAACGGATCTGTCCAGCCATGGCAATCTCAACATCCAAGTCCTTAGCAAACTGCCAAGCGAGACCGGTATCGCGTTGGAAGGCACGACCAACAAGAATGACATCAAGATCATCATCGTTCAGAATCTTGTCTGCCAAGTTTCCGTTGTTGATCATACCAACAGCAGCAACAAGAAGCTTATCTCCAACAGCCTTCTTAATAGCAGCAGCGTGAGGAACCTGGAAAGCAGGACCAGAGGTAATCTTCTGCGCTGAGTGCACACCGCCGGTACTGATATCGATCAAATCGATAGCGCCCTGCGCAGCAAGCGCACGAGCGAATTCAACGGTGTCCTCAAGCTTCCAGCCCTTCTCAGCCGGCAAGCTGTTCTCGAGCCAGTCGGTAGCTGACACACGCAGGAAGACGGGCACATTATCACCGACAGTGTCACGGGTCAGCTGAGCGATCTCCAACGACAGACGAATGCGGTTCTCGAAGCTGCCACCGTAGTTATCGGTGCGCTGGTTGGAAGAGGAGCTAAGGAACGAGGAGAGGAGGTATCCGTGAGCGTTGTGGATCTCGATGAAATCACAGCCAGCAGCAATGGCACGCTTAACAGCAGCAACCCAGGCAGTCTTGACCTCGGCGATATCATCCTGGGTCATGGCAATGGGGATAGGATCACCCTCAGCGAAGGGAATGGCGCTGGGAGCCTTGATGTTATCTGTCCAACCGCCGACGGAGTTGTTCGCGACAACACCACCAAGCCAAGGAGCCACGGTGGAGGCCTTGCGGCCGGCGTGTGCGAGCTGGATACCGATTTTCTGGCCCTGGCTGTGCGCAAACTCAACGACCTGCTTGAGCGGCGCAATCTGCGAGTCCTTCCAGAGGCCCACGCAGCCGGGGGTGATGCGGCCCTCGGGGACAACACCGGTTGCTTCAATGATGATGTGTCCGGGTCCGCGCTGGGCAATGGAACCGTAGTGCGCGATGTGCCAGGGGGTCATGTGGCCATCGTCGGCACTGTATTGGCACATGGGCGCCATCTGGAGGGATATTGTTAGCTATGTGATTTATGCAAGGGATTGAGAGGAATTGCTTACACCCAGGCGATTTTGGAAAGTCACGCCTCTGACGGTGAGAGGCTTGAACAGCTTGGGAATGGGCTTTCCGCTCGTTTGGGGATTGCGAGCTGTGCCTGCTGGGGGGCTCTGCGCAGGGGTATAGTAGGAGATGCCCTCGGCGGGCTTAGCGGAGACGTCAGGCCAGGTCATTTTGATGGTATTTTAAGTATAAATATTATTATATGTGTGGATAGTAATTTCATCTTGTAGGAGGAGGGGTAGCTTGATTTATATAGTGATCTACAGTGGGGAACTCGAGGGTTGATTTATCATCGAAATTTTCGGATACGCTTTACCATCTGATTCTGGAGGCTAATAAATCACAAAGTGTCCGAAATTTGATATCATGCCTTGGAACAATCCCACTTTTACCGCATGGGGTTCATTTGTCAGAGCGTGGAGCAAAATTACCCTGTAAAAAAGTACCAAAAGTCGCCGAATCATCTCCACCCGGTTGAATTAGGACCCGATCTCGGGATCCATTCATCCTCGGCAGATGAAAATGATTATATAATGTCTCCGACACCCCCTGGAGGGGCTAATGGAACCCCGGGCGGTTCAAACTCTGAAGTTTAAGCTTATTTCTACTCACACTTATCTACTCACACTTATCTACTCACACTTAAAAACATTGCGTGCACTTCCAAGTAACAGTGTGGATATAGCATCATTTGGCGGCTGATGTTCTTCCAATATCCATATCCATCTTGGGGTAGGATAGAGGTAGAGCTTTTTCGCCACTCGGGATCGAGGGTTGGCCACCGCAGGGCGAAGTACTCTTTCTCCGGCACACTGTAACCTGCAGCGCCCCAGCCGATGATCCCAGTAATTTCCCTATGCTGAATCATTATGTTTGACTGGTCCAGGTCGCCATGAGTAAGGTTGGCTGCCCTGTATCATCTCCATCAAGATGAATCCGATCCCCTCAATCAGATAGGCATTGAAAACCTTCTAACGGGAACTGATGTTTGTATTTCTTGACCAGAATTATAGCCTCCGCCTCTCCCATTTAAACTTTTAGTTCGACTTTAAAAATGGCGGAATCGTCAAGTTGTAGCAAGTAGCAGCCATTGAATCTATTCGGGCAGATGTTCACAATTGGTGGCGGGCCGTCTCACAGTGAAGGTTTGAACTTTACCCCGACAGCTGAGTTCGTAAGATCACAGATCCTTTTCATCAGATCCACACGAATCGGCTGAGTTGAGGGTATGCAGCTACCATAAACAGTGGGGTTTAACGCCCGGCCATCCGAGCACTTATTGAGTGGAATTAATGAGCAGCTACCACAGCCAGGTTTGCTCGGAGAAGTTGCACCAGGTCTTGCTTCGGCGTATGACCCATATGTACTAGAATTGTTCTAGTTCAGAAACTTGATAGACTTTATATAGTGGGTACTGGATGAAGAAAGTGTCTATGACTTTGGTCTAAGGATGTCTCGTTTCCGAGATTTGCAGCCGGAAGAAATCGAGCCCCTACAGCGCGTAGACTACAGTGAGGCAAATAAAATAGCTAAGGAATAAGTGATATTTGCCTACATAAAGGAAGTAGGATTGCTGATTATGTTGAAGTGGTGGAATAAAACCAATTTATGGGCGGAGATCAGGCTAGGAAAACAAAATCATATGTACCGGACAATGCCTGGCACTCGAGATTCGAGACCTTTCCCCTTCCATTTTGGTGCTCATTTCTTGCCGCTTTTTAATCTCAGAGTAAAATTGAGCACGCCTCTGACCACCTTGACCGCTCTCATATCATTACATAAGCTAAAGCATCATGTGACTATCACATGAGCAATCTGATCCACTCACATATCATCATATGAGCAACATGATTCGCTCACGGATTAGGATCAGATTGGTGGTTGAACGATGTTGTTATCTTAAGCTTCGAGCACCAAGTTTACACCTCAAATAATATAGCATCTCAAATATGACCCGATACATCGAGTTGTTAGGCCTGACCGGTGGAGGGAATATTTGTTTGTCGAGAAATTAATTGACCGGATGGACTACCCCTTAGAATGTCCATTTTTCTCCCTGCAATTTGGTTACTAAATATTTCAAATTACCAGCCCTCAGCATTCACACTTCGCAGATCTTAAATAAATGCATTTAAATTCAATGATTTGGGTTTGGTAGCCAGCTCGCTTGGGAATTACGTTAATGCTAATTCCCCACATGGTCAATAACTAATTACCACAAGATTAATGTATTGCACTTATCATGATTCGCAGCGCTAAGCAGAGCCCCGTATCGAAATTAGTCTAACACTTTAGTCAAGGATGAGGAGCCAATAAATCGTATAGCAGTGGGTAGCCTCGCCCGTCAGCAGTAAGCACTAGCGGCGACCCGAATTTTCTCAATAATATATAAGTCACTCAAGCCCACTGGTTTGTTGCCATTCCAAAACTGTGGAAGAAGAACCAATCAGGTACTTAAATATGGGGGAAGCAAAATACAAGGAGCCGTTTGTAGACGCTGAACCCAAATTCATACACACACAACACGCCGGTAAGAGCACGCCTAGTCTCCTTCTCCACGCATCGAACCAGCTGACATCCGCAAGATCGATACCAAAGAGAATTTAATCTCCTGACCCGATTTGGGCTTCAATCCAATGTTATCCGTGTGGCATCATACGCCAACCTCAACGAGAAAGCGGTGCTTTCAAAAGCACTGCTTTATCCAGCCCTTCGAAAAGTCGTTCAAAAATATCCCGAGCTGGGCATGACTTATTTCAGTGGCCCCTCCGAAAAGAAAAAATCTCAGCATCGGTGTTTTTTGGGTGTCTTGCCTCGCATTAATCTTGATGACCATGTTGAATTCCTTGAAATTCCCCCAGAAGAAGAAAAAGCAGGTCTCACTGCAACTATCGAGCGTTATCACGGCTTTTGGTTTGATCCATCCACAAAGCCGCTATGGAGGCTTGTCATAGTCAATGGAAGACATGCGATGCTGGTATTTGACCACTTTATTACCGATGGACGCGGAAGCACTTTCATCCTCGATGCCCTGCTACAGGCACTTAACTCACCGACCGAAGACCATCTTAACTCCTCTATTGTTGAAATGACCACAGAGGTAAAGGGTTATCCTGAGGTAGATCCGGTGAAATTATACGGATCGGGACCATCAGTCCTTTTTGCGATCGCGAGCTACATATGCTTCTGGTGTATTCAGTTCTTCTATCGCGGGACCGATGTCTTTTTCTGCGATGCCAGATATCAGGAGCGACATCTTGTTCTCAGCGATCCCAAAAAAGAAGACAACCTAGTCACGACAAAGGTTCACACGCTCCGCCTGGAAGCTGACACGATGGAAAAATGCCTTCGCGCTTGTCGCAAACACCAGACCTCATTCACTAGCCTTTTGCACACGCTCATTAAAGTGAGTCTGGCGGCAGACTTCTACCCCAAAGCCAAGTTCAGTCATTCCGAGACTGTCGTCGATGTGCGCCCTTATCTCCTCAAACAGGAGAGGGAAAATACTATGAGCACTGCAGTGTCCATGATCTCGAGTTTTGACTGGCTATCGCAGTTCCGACAAGCAGGTCAAAGTTCTGATTCAATGGGCCAAATCCCAATTGATGCAGATGCATTATGGGAACTTGCACGCAAACATAAGGCTCATGTGGTCAATGATTTGCACCACAAGAAGTCTTGGATGAAAGCGTGGCTCTCCATCGACCTGATTGGGAACGACGATGAAGATTATGTTTCTCAACTACTACCAGGCCTGAAGGTCGTTCAGAAATCCACATTTTCTGTATCGAATCTCGGCGCTTTCGACGGTCAGTCAGGCCCTGGACCCTGGACCATCTCCAACATGGAGTTCTCAGCGGGTGCCATCAAAGCAGGCTACGGGCCGAATTTGACCTTCAATGTTTCAGGTGTTCGAGATGCTGCCACCGTAATTCATGTTAGCAATGAGGAAGGATCTTTGTCAAGTGATTTTGTCGCTTCCCTTCTTGAGAGGATCGAGAAACGATTGCTGGCAGTTATCTAAATAAAATTCTCGTGGAATAACGATTGGTTGTCGGATGTCTCCAGAATCACTCAATTTTGGGGCAATATTGCCCTGTTTTCGGGAAGCCCTCCTTTGTTCCATCGTACAAAGGATACATTAAAAATTGACGATTAAAAGATATCCTTTCCTAGATTGAGACAGAGAATAAAGGATCGGCAAAGAGGAAAAGAGCGAGGGAAAATAATTGTCTCTTTCAGAAATCATGTACTTTACTAATTCGGTCATATTAATGCCTTAGGCAAATGATATCAACACACGACACGCAACTTTCTGGAGTTGCGATGTATTTGATTTCTGTGTGAGCCTGAAGAGCAATATCACATTCGCGCGATAGTTCTCAGGATGCCATATCGCCCATTATTCACTGCTAGGGCATGTTCACTTGATATCCACGTGCAGTTCCGAGCGAATACGATGTGAACTGTCCTAATCTAATCAATAAGAAATAATAAAGTTAAGTTTGCCAGTGCAACTATCAAGTCGATCTCTCCTTGTTTATTTTGTATTGCTATTTGTGTCAATGAAGCTGGCCATCGAACCTTGGACTGAATGACGTCGTTCTTTACCTAAATTGCTGCGGTGGCGCTTCTCTTAACGGCCATCATTCAACCTCCGTTCTTACTATGATTATAGAAATCCGAATACATTCGCGTTCTTGTCTGCGCAAATGTCACAAATTCTTATTGGCAATGGGTCCGCATTCGATGATGCTATCCTCCGACTCTCATAGCATCCCGAAATGTCTGCTCCCGAGTCTCTCGATCCATCTGCGCAGTCTCACAACACAAATATCGCTATCGGCGTTGTTGTATTTATATCTGTCGCTCTTTATAACTCCCTCGAGCTCATCTTCCATGTTCTCCTGGGTTTCAATCGCCGCCGAAGTCTCTACTTTTGGTCACTTTTCTTATCCACCATACTAGGCATAATTCCAACAAGCATTGCAATTTCCTTTGAGTTATTTGATCATGCACCAATGTAGTTATCACTCACTATTTCGAATATCGGATTCTGTTTTATGGTCCCGGGCCAAGGGAAAAGTAAGGTAGGGAATGGACACGATGGCCAACATCATTTTCTCCACCAAACCAGCATCTCTGTGAGGTTTGATCTGCGATAGGAGGCCAATACGCTGGTCGCTTAGATGGGCAGTGAACCATGATTGGAGCGCTTCATATGTCTGGGGGGGTACATGGCTCTGGGCTGCGACTTGGAGGCATACCAACCTTGAGAACCACAGCCAAGAAGAAAATTGGCATTCCTCTCCACCACCTGAAGGGTTGCGGCAAATTCAACTCAAAGATAGTAGACTTTGCTTTTAGTTCATTAGCGGGCAAAGGCCATTCATGAACATTGATATCAAGTTCATTTGCCCAAGGCTTGTAACCACACGTCAAATCTTCCATTGGTGACATCTGCTTTGCAAGTACATTTTGTATGATTGGCCAGGCTCAAGAGGCGACTGCATTCTTGTTTATTTTTTCGGAACTCTGATATATTTTGCGCTTTTCGTCATAGGACCGACAACCTGCAAAAAGTAAGCTGTAGGACCACACGAACCATAAGCCACATAGCAGATCGTCGCCATGGGAATCGAGTATTGAGCTGCAGCACCTCTTCGCGCGTATTCTTCTGAATCTGCAATGTATTGACCTCGGAACAACGAGGACGCAGGACCGCCATCATAAAATCTGTCACCATTTTTGGACGGGTGGTATCCCTATCCTCATCATATTTCTGGTAAAATTTCTTCACAAATTGACTACTCATCTGTGCAATAGTTTGGGCGATCATATCCCTGAAGCCCTTATTGTTGAAAGTGGTGAGGTCCATAGTAAGAGTAAGACATAGAAATATGCGTTGAAGGCGCCCAACCGTCGTTATGATGGATTCGTTACGAGAAGATAGCTCAAAAGACTCGATTTTGACTACATTGTCACGATGAGTGATCAAAATTGCCGCATTCTGCTGGCGAACATAGATGGGAAGAAGACCACCTGCGTAATCGCAATTATGATTGGCCAGATGAGGACCACAAGTAGAAAGGGTAAGCTTACCGTGAGTCTCCAACTCTGTCAAAGCCTTCGCCAGTTTGCTGCACGGCCCAGGATCTTGTTTTTGATGGCTCTCCTTTGAGGAAATCTTCTTCCCAAAACGAAGGGCTCTCACAACCATTGCTTCAAATAGCACTTTTCTGAGGTATACACTTGCTAGGCCAATATATACCACTCAAATATGTCTGAGAACGTTATAAGCATAGACCGTGTTTAAATTCCTCCCCGTCAACTGGTAAATATAAGATGTGCTATAATGAGATCTCGAAATTTGGATGTAGGCGTGTTATTTGAAGAATCTAGTGCTTGTTCGGGGGTTGGATCTCACTGGATGATCTGGATGATTGCAGGAAACTTGATGGCCTCCAGGACTCTCTCTGTGTCGATGAACACCAGACCATAGTATGCCAGTCGGCCTCCTAGTATGTGATCATCATGGTCAGGGCGAAAAATTATTAGAATATTGACAAAAATGTGCTTCGGTGATGTGAGCCAACTGAGTTATCATTGGGAATGAAAATGCTTTGTGAGAGATGGTTCATATAATGAAGATCCCGAAGTCAAGGATGAATATAGTGGATATATAGATTCAGAAGTGAAGGGGCATTGAAGAGGTAGAAGCTGGGTAGCCAATTATATTGCACTCATCACCCTTTTATATGAGAAGTAATTGAGAGAGAGGTAAATGAAAAGTAAATAAGAGACAAATAAGAGGTGAAAGGTGACAAGTGTGAGAACTAAAGTAGGGTATGTGCACCTCCAGGGCTCCCTCTCCTTATGTCATTATATAACGTATTTCACAAGCTAGTGGCCACCACAAGCTAGTAGCCACCCCCACCCAACTTACTAATTTCAATTGCATTTATCTCAACCAAAACTCCATTAAATTAAATATAGTAAAATCATCTAGCTAGCTAGGCATCTATTAATCTTGTGTCCTATTCCTCCACAACCACTACACTTTGGTAGGGCCCGCGTACGTGGTTGTAAAGCCGGCGAAGGGCTTCTTCGTAGAGGGGAGGGGGGTGCTTTAATTACTTCTACCGGCTTAGCAATCAATTGAGAAGCTTCTTGCACTAAGAGGCCTTCTTCTGCAAGTATCTACCTCCGAGATCTAGTACGCTTTTACTTCTGCTTCTTGTTAGCGGCGCGTAATTCCTTGTTTTCTTTAGCGAGTAAGATAGTACCTTACATTATAAGACAGAAGCCTTTCACAAGCTGGTTTAATATATAATCTAACGGGCTAGGCGGGCTTCGAGATCTTATACGAAATAAAGCTTTAATTGATAAAGCTTAATAACGTAGATCTTTCTCTGTAACTAGTATTTTTAGTATAAAATTGCGACTTGATTCGCTCCCCCGACTAAGGGAGGGGGGTAGGTATTCGAAGCTAAATATTAAGCTTTAAGATTACTCTCTCTAGTTTAAAAGGGACTAAACCAGCTACTATAAAGCTATTCTTAATTATCTCCGATTTAAAAGCTTTAATTTATACGAGAGGGTATACTTCAAGGAAGTCAAGTTTATTAATATAATTAATCCTATTCTATATTTTAGATTTAACTATCCAGCTATATATATGTTTTAATACTATAAAATAACTAATATCTAAAGGTTATAAAAGATAAGATAAATACGCTAGTATATAGATTAGTATTACCTTATTTTACTTACAAATTTTGTTAAATTTAGGTATTAAATAACTTCTATAACTATTAAGAATTAAAAGCCGGTATACCCCCTTATAGACCTGGCAGTGACCCGCGGGTGACCCTCACGACCCTCGAACCGCCCCGCCACTGGGGCGGTTCGAGGGTCCAACCTTCCGACCCTGAGGGTAGTCCACCTAGAGGTTGGACCCTCGGAGGGTCACCCGCGGGTGACCCTGAGGGTCGTCAAACAGGACAAACAAGCAAATTTTGTGATAAAAATATTTTTTATGTAAATAATTATGCAAAATTTATTACATAGGCAGATTTATACATCCCAATTAGGCTTAGCGCTACATATTTATGCATCTGAGGGTCGCTGCGGGTCGTGGAGGGTCACCCGCAAGCGACCCTTGGAGGGTCAGGGTCAGGGTCAGGGTCGCTCACAAGCGACCCTGACCCTCGGAGGGTCGGGTGGAGGGTCCAAGATCATGGACCACCCGGAGGGTCACTGCCAGGTCTACCCCCTTAATATATAAAGTACTAAGAATAAAGAGCTTCTTAAGCTAATAAAGTCTAATCTTATCAGAGGTCTAGCTATTAGGACTAACTTTAAAGTATTAATCCCCTAGAAAGCCATTAAACTATGATTTAATAAAGACTTTACCTTTAAAAATCATATATAGAGGAAGGGCCTATCTAGAAGCATTTATACATTCAATAACTATCACCTATTCACAATTTCTAGATTATAAAACCAGCCTCCGACTATAATATTCACTCCTCGTAATAACCTTTGCAGTTACAGTTAATCCTATTACAAAACCAGTCTTATCAAAGTTATAAATATTATTAGGGTCGATTCCAAATTAAACAATTATCTTTTAAACTAGATTAAACCACTTAGTAATAATCTTAGGATCCTTACATTTCGCACGCTTATAGTTATACCGTTTTAAAAACCGAGAGGATAAAAGAGGGTATCTTTTAATAAAATTCGTAACCTAATTTTCACCGACCGAAAGAACCAGGGTAGTTCTACGCTTTTAAAGCAGAAGATCTACCATTTCTTATACCATAGAGGGCCGGGGGACTGCTCCACGTTAATCTATAGAGAGAATCCATTTTTTAAGAGATTCCTCCTCAATTTATATCAATTTACGTAAGTTAGCGCGAGAAATCGCGCAGTGTTATATACCACTAAGCCGGTAGCGGAGAGTTATACGCGGGAC